TTTCCTAAGTTTGAGGAAATGGAACACTTCATGTGCAATCCCAATATTATCGTGAATTTGCCGACCCCCAACAAAGGCATTTTGCATAGGAGAAATTAGATTGGGCAACATCGGTCTTAATCTGTTCGCCAATAGCTTTGCCAAATCTTATAAGAATAATTACATAAACTAATTGGTCTAAATTGAGAAATGGACTTTGGATTGGGAACTTTAGGAACAAGCACTATATGAGTGGCATTAAGACTGCTAGGATTGACCTCACTAGTTTCAAAACAACGCATTAGGGCTTGAACCTCTACTTTAATGGTATCCCAAAAGGATTGATAGAAAATACCTTGAAAGCCATTAAGTCTTGGAGCTTTGAGGTTACCCATTTGAACTACCGTTGCATGAATTTCTTCATCCGAGAAAGGTTCCACTAGCGACATGTTTATACCTTTAGTCACTTGATGAGGAACGCACTCTAAAATGCCTCCCAATCTCTGCTTCCCGTGGAGGAAAACAGGGAAATAAAATACTCATCAATCAACTTTTTAATTCCATATGGATTGTCCTCCCATGTACTTGCATCATTTTTTAGCTTCAACACTTGACTTCGCTAGCGTCTTTGCATGGTAGATTGGTGAAAAACTTTGTATTTGCATCGCCCTCTTTGAGCCATTGTACTCGGGATCTTTGACACCAAAAACTTTCCTCTTGAGCCATGAGCTGGTCAACTAATTTATCTTTCTCAGAAATCTCTTTAATATGCAGTTCCGCTATAAGTCATCCAGCTGAGACATAAGCTCTGTGATTACCTGTGTTCGGCAATGAAAGGTATGTTTACTCCACTTGATGAGTTGAGACCTACAATCATGAAGTCTTTTATTCCATCGAGCTAAGACATTACCATCATAATGCTTATTTTAACAATCTGTCATCACCTGCCTACAAGCCTCATCCTTCGCCCAAAATGACTTGAACTAGAATAAAGACCTCACACCAACCTGTCTGGGGTCACACTGAACTATAAACGGGCAATGATCTGATCCTAATACAGTTTCATGAGTAACACACGTGTTTGGCCACATAAACTGCCATAACTGATTAGCAAGCGCTTTGTCTAATCTTTCTTCCACCAATTCACCATTTCGAGACCCACGCCAAGTAAAAGCCAACCCATTAAAATCAAGATCAATCAGCTGCGCTAAACTCATAAAATCAGCAAGATACTGAGGACGATTGTACAGGATAGCCAAACCCCTCGATTTCTCTGAGTCCTATAGATACTCATTAAAATCTCCAGCACATAACCAAAGAATAGCAGAAGAACGAATATGTGTTCCCATCCACCGCCAAAATTTTACTTTCTCAGCTCGATACGCAGTACCATATACACCGGTTAGCTGCCTCCAACTGGACTCTCCCAAGTATCGAACATGAGCATCAATAATATTCTTGGAAGATAGATAGATTTGAACTTGCAGTGTAGTATCCCACCAAAGGCTCAAGCATCCCGACTTACCAAATGAAGAAACATTAAACCCATAAGGAAAACCCATACGTCTTCTCACTTCGTCAATGCGATGATCTTTCATCTTAGTCTTAGAAAGAAAGATCAGATTAGGTCTATATTTTCGTATGAGCCCATGAAGGGCTCGAACCATTGTGTCCGACCCAAGGCCACGACAGTTCCAAAATATATAACTTATGGTGAGCTTGCGGCTGTTAAAGGATAACCGCCACCACCCTGAGAAGACCTACCTTCCTTACGTGCCAACAATGCTACCCATTCAGGCTCAGACTTTGCCTCCAATAACTGCCACATATCTTGGTACTCCTCTGAAAGATCCTCATATTCATATTTCGCATAAATAACCCATTCAATCAGTAAACATCTTTCTTTAATACTCATACCTCTCAATCTTTCCTCCATTCGTCTATTCTGCTCTTCATAACTTCCAATATTCTTTAACTTTTTCTGTGGGGATGAAGCAAATTCCTAACCCACATCAACAGCCGGACGTTTTAGGCTTCTAGCACATCCTGTAATTCACTTTCACTCTGTCTCCTCAATGCATGCCTTTCCAGGAGCTCTTCTATAATAACTGTTGAAGTGTGCCCCTCCCATCGAGAAGGTGGAGAGCTGGAAGTAGTCTTTAAAGAATCAACCTTGCAGTCTGTCTGATCCGCTAGGGGAATAAGAGCAAACGACCTATTTTCCTGAAAAGTTGGAGTATCATCAGTCTCCCGAGAACAAGGAATCCGATGCTAGTGCTTACGATCACGAATTGTAATCTGCGTTATATCACTTTGGAGTCTCGCACCAAAATGCTTCCACCTGCTTCTTGATAAGGTGAATCATGAACATGCCTTCGTGATGACCCCTCTCCCTTCCTGGCCCTTCGAATAGCTCCCGCATATCTCCGTTCTCCCATCCCTAGAGTAAGAGGTCTATTAGGAGCCATAACATCTCTAACAAGAGCCGTTTTTGTCCATTCTCTAAACCCAGCTGTATCGCCCCTTGAAGGCTCAAAGATGCACTCTGTATTTACATGTCCAATGCGCCCACATCTGTAGCAAAAATCTTGCAATCTTTCATAACGAAATTCCACCCACGTCTCTGTATCTTGCCCTCTGAACAACCAGCAACCAGTTACAAGAGGATTAGTTGTGTTAACAATAACCTTTGTTTAAAGGAAACCCCTAGCCAAGGATGGGTCTTCCAATTCCAGAAAGTCTCATACTTCTTGTACAATGCGTCTAACATTAGCTTCAGATATGAATCCTAGAGGTAAGCCTCGGATTTGAACCCAAAAGGGAACCAACTCCAATCTAAGCTCTTCTAAAGCAAATTCCTGAGGCCATCTGGTAACGGAGAAATTTTGCTTCATGACTACCTAAGGAACCTAACTCAAGATCTTATCAGCGATTGTCTCATCCGGAACAGTAATAATATACAGGTTATCCCGCACCCATTTGATTTCGATGTCTCCAAACTCTTTCTATGAGACGTAGAATATTTCGCACTTCCCATCGATTTAATTGTCTGTTTACCAAAACAGCCTTCATTAATTTAATCCCCTGTTCTATACACGACAAATCCATGGTGTTCTCCAAATGAACCACCAATTCCTCTATTTTCTACTACCCCATATAATCCACTCTAGACCTTTTCATAAGAATGAATTGGATTGAAGGATAAACTAGATAGAGCTTGGAAGTTGCTATCAAACACTCCGTAATATGATAAAGATACCTTTGTATTTGACCTTCACCCTGGATACTAAGCAGTTTATAGAACACAGCAACATAAGCCCATAACGCAGAAATTTGAAAAAAGTACATGGGAATAATAAAATTGAGTGTTGGAGGCAATTAATGCCTGAATTGGTAGGTTGGACTTCCAATTCGACTAAACTGACTAAGTCGGTGGGAGTGCAATTACTACCCATCTTAACTGATATGCCTTCAAAAGCCCCATAAACTTCTGAAAGGAGTATTAATGAGCAAAGGTCTAAATAACCTAACCGACTCACACCAACCGAAACCAAAGTCCCCTCAGCGAACTTCTGCAGTCTAATCAAAGTATCAACTGCAAATCGCTTGGTCAAACCGAAGCCCCACTCAGATTCCCAATCACACCGACTCAACAAATCCTTAAAGAAAGACCGACAGAGCGAGATCAGAAAGATGAAAGACGCAAACACTCAACGATAACAGACCCTTCAAATCCAATCGCCTTCCAGATGATATGAGAAAAGATAGAAACTCCTCCCCAACCAAGAATCGATCAGATTCCTAACTCTCACACAGAAGAGAAAAGCACTCACCACGGAGGTCTCTCACACATGAGAGAAAAATATTACTAGTATTAGACCCTTGTCGTTTTTGCTAGACCTTTATAATATAGATCATGTTTTTATATGGACATGGCATGAGAAGAAGTTATGGTCCTCAAAGCATGTTAGGCCAAACATATATATTAAGTATTTGTCCACGTCATTGCCTAACACTGTTAGTTTCATCACTTGAGGGTTTAGGGTTTTGGTGCCTCACATAAGTCTAATAATTTATTTATGAAATAACCGAAATCGAATATGCAACATTTTTTTAATAAAATGTTGAATTTCATTCCAAACAAAAAGATTACATAGTACGTTAATCAACAACAAGTAGAAAGCGGGATGATAAGCTTGGGCCTTTAGAAAAACCTCTGGTTGAAAACTCCCAAAGCAGGAAATATCAACCAAAGGAAAAAGAGCACCTTGCACTTGTCATCGCTTAATATAACATCGAACTCGATGGATCAACTTTCGAAAGACACATCGACCATGGAGGAGCCTTCTCAGTTCAAAAGACAACCTCCGGTTGAAAACTCCCAAAAGGAGGAAATATCCACCAAAGGAAAATGAGCTCCTCCCATTTGTCATGACTTTTTTTTTTTTTGGACAGAACTTGTCATCGCTTAATATTACATCGAACTCTGATGGATCAACTTCCAAAAGAAACATTGACCATGGAGGAGCCTCCTCAATTTGAAGGACAAAATCATTCTCAGCCACCTTACTTGAAGAGCAGGAGAGACTTTACCGCCATGTAGCATCACATGTCAAGAATATAATGATATATGCTATAGTTAATTTACGTATCTTTATGTTATTGGCATAGGACACAATTGTGACAGCTAAACATACAAATTGTTCTTGAGAGCAGAGGCGGTATTACTGTAGATAAACTTTTTAGTGTGCCGAACACACATGCCGGTACACTAAGAAGCATAATACAACGATGAATTTTTCTTTTTTCTAAGTTTTCAATTAATTATATTATTATATTTAGCATTCTTGATCATGTTCCGGCACATTAATAAATCATGTAACCGTGGCCACCAAATTGCCACAAATATTAGGCATACAAAGTGCCGCATCATAAAAGATGTTAGACTCACAAAGTGCCACGTCATCAGAAACGAAAAAGCGAAAAAAAAAAAAAAAACAAAAATACTGATAGGATATTACGGTTGGTGAGGAAGGGATAGAGCAGGGAGAAGTTATGGCGGGAGCTTCAGTGCATATGCAGCATTTGAACAGCAGAGTCGGTGTTACTATGGCCACCGCGACTACTCCTACAGACACCCAAATCGGGACTCGGGTTCAACTCCCAGAGAAGACCCGCAATTCTCGGGTGTTGGTGCTCGGCGGAACGGGTCGGGTCGGAGGCTCCACTGCCATTGCTCTCTCCAAGCTATGCCCCGACCTCCAAATTGTCGTCGGCGGTCGAAACAGGTAATGAAATTTACCATTATACCCAACACGTACTCACTGTTTGGTTGCCGAGAAAAAAAATATGGGAAATGAAGAGAAAATTACTCCTTTGGGTTCTGTTAGAGGTGAAATTTTCTATTGGCTGGTAGAATTAGAAATGCAAGGAAATCTGGGATTGAATTATTGTAAAATTTATGTTTTTTGAACAAGAATTGTGTCACTGTCTAAATCTGCACTCCAAATTTATAAAAACGCGGGGGAATTTGTAAAAAGAGGAGTGCATGATGAAATTTTTGGAGTGCGGATAACGGTACTCAAATAATTAATTAACTTGTTAAGAAGGCTTCCCTGTCCTGCATTGCCTTATCTAGACCTGGTTAGAATAACAAAGTTTTCCCGTCCAAGCGTCGAGAACCTTAGTAACTCTAATTCTAATGGTGCACAAGCAGTAAATGTCCGTTATCAATTTCTAGATGACATAAAGTTAAACAAAATGAATAGGCAGGTAAAATGCATAGCTGAGAAGATAAACCCGATAAAGAGCAGGACTTGGTGCATTTTGATAATGTTGCAGTGGTCTTGAAAATGCATTACCTTTTAGCATCTTCTTGAGTTCTTTCTCATGTGTGATTACGAACGTTTGCTTTTTGAGATGCTAAAGTTTGCTGGAATTGGGTTCCATTACAGGGAAAAAGGTGTTAATATGGTAGCTACACTTGGGAGAAACTCAGAGTTCTCAGAAGTAGACATTAACAATGTAAAATCATTGGAAGCAGCTCTGAAAGGTGATCGATTCTTCTACTTTCTTTTCAACATTTATTGTCCGTGAATTTACGTTTCAGTATGCTGCTACCCCTACTGGGGTATTGAATGGCTTCACCAAAAAGTTTCGGTATTATACTTGACTGATTCGTTATGTATCATGTAGGGAATATTAAGTATTGGAGATGTGTATACCGTATATATTCTTATGTTTAAGTAAGTATTTATTTTAGTTTTTATTGTCTTCTTAATATGATCCAGTTTGACTCAACAGTTCATACCAATAATTATTTATTCCTTTCTAATGTAGGAATAACTAACTAATCCGATTTCATATGAAAACTTTTAGATTGTCTGTCATAGTCTGTGTATCATGATGAAACCTGTCTTTGGGCCTAGTTTAAAGAAAAAATGATAAACGGACAAATATGTAATTTCTTACTTATACATACTTGACCTCAGTAATTATTTTTTGTTTTGCTTCTTGGTTTAAGACTAAGTCATTGAACATGAATGTAGGGACAAGCGTCCCAAAAAAGAAAGGTTGGAACAAAAAGAAACATCATTTATCTCACCAGTTCCACTTTTTGCTTTTCACTTAACCAATGCTTCTGTAATACTGAACAGCTATGCAATGACATCTGGGATTTCATGTCTTTCTGTTACAATCCTTTCATATTTTATTAACTCAATTTTCAAAATGTGCTGACATGCTCTTCATCCTCACTGGCCTTTTCTATTTTCACTACAGGCCATAATTGTCACATCTCACAATTTTATTTGTGTGTAAGTAGAACAGGCAGATTTTTAACACTGCACTGTTTGTTTCTATTTCATACTGGAAATTGAGAGAAACCCGGAATTTCATTTTATTGGTTTACCGTTTCTGATATAATGGGGATCATAATTGATATGCATGCAGAAGCGTGTAATCCTAATGTGGGTTTCGTAATATTGTATCCAATTTCATTTGAGCAAGTAGCTTCATCTTGTCCTTAAAGTGCAGTTATGAAATTTCATAACAGTGCATAAATATTCATTACGACTTCTCTCTGTAGATGTAGATCTCGTAGTTCATGCTGCAGGGCCATTTCAACAAGCAGAGAAGTGCACTGTATTGGAAGCTGCCTTAGAGACAAAGGTTAGTGAGTGAGTGTGTGTATCTTGGATAATGTATCTTATAAGTTTACTAAAAAGTTGTATGACTTTGATAATGTCTTTCATCTCCCTACAGACAGCCTACGTTGATGTTTGTGATGACACAGCCTATTCACAACGTGCAAAATCCTTCAAGAACAGCGCTATAGCTGCAAATATTCCGGCTATAACAACTGGTGGAATTTATCCAGGAGTGAGCAATGGTCTATCATCAGCACATTTTGTTCTGTAATCCACAAGTTTGGTGGTACACTTTGCTTGTGCATATATTTGATCTGTGTTCAAACAAAAATTTTGCTTGTCCAAGATAAAAACTCAAATACCAGGCTCTTTTTTATAGGGCCCGTAGCAAGATACGTTACTCTCTTTCTGTAGACCTACATGCACGAGCTGAGAAACCCCAAGTACCTATGGTTTTTTGAGTTCATATGAGTTGTACCTTACATGTATAATATAACAGTGAAACCTCATGATGTGTTATCTTACTTTTGAGTTTGTTGATGTGAGTTTTGGAATATCTCGAGGACTACGATACATGATGCCTAGGGTTTTGTTCCACCAAAAACATAAAGCAATTTGTAAGCACGCCAATGGAAAACCATTGGAGTAGTCATAGATTAGAGTTGTGATCAGATGATATTCTTGTGTTAAAAACTGAATCATAGCTACCATTTGTTTTTACTTCGATGCTGACTCCTATTTGTTATAATGGCAGTGATGGCTGCAGAACTAGTTCGTGCAGCTAGAAGTGAAAGCAAAGGCACACCCGAAAGGCTAAGGTAAACCATTCCCAGTACCTTCATATTTTAAGTCCAATCAATTGGCATCGAATTGGATTTTTTCTTGCTAGTATAGATTCTTTATGTAGTTCAAATGGTGCCTTCTACTTACATTGTCTTTCATATTAGTTCGAAATAAATCTTTCCATGGCCACACGTCTCAAGCTGCAACTCTAATTATAAGAACACATAAACTTTAACCAAAATTATAATTAATAATCTATACCCAATGTGTTGTGGAGCTTTCGGCCGTGAGAGGGGAGTGTCTTTTGGCTTCCTTGGGGCGCTGTGAAGCTTAGCTTGCTTTAGCTGCCATGTGATGATTCAAGTTCATGGTAGGCATAGGGTCTGGGCAAAGCAGTAGCGAAGCTCAGGTGGTGATGCAAGTGCGTGGTGAGCGTAGTAGCCCCCTTGGGCATGTTCCTTGTATAACCAAGTGAAGAGCTAGTGAGGGCCAGAATGGAATATATGGGACCAACATTTGCCTCAACTGGCCTCTCATGTCTTTGTTATTTTATCAAACTTGATTGCATGCTTTGGTTAGGAGTTTGTTCAGATACTTCTTGATTGAAGTGAACATATTGATCTAATGCATAGTCACACATATCATAACACGGAGTATTCGTAGTTTTTACTATGCCTAACAAATTATTGCAAATTCCTCGTATCAGATTCTATTACTACACAGCAGGAACTGGCGGCGCTGGTCCAACTATCTTAGCCACTAGCTTTTTGCTTCTGGGAGAGGAGGTTGTTGCATTTAATAAAGGTTAGTTTCAATAGTGTTTAGGAATTGTTATTAGCACTCCAAAAATCTCATTTGGCACTCCAGACTTTCTATAATTAGAAAGAAAAATACACTTGTGAGGAGTGTAGAATGTGATTTTTGGAGTGCTAATAACAATTCCCTTTCTTTTCCCCCCTTTCTATTTGTGCTTCTTTTGAATTCCGTATATTATGCCTAACTGTGATAACGGACTTCTTGACCAGGAGAAAAGATCAAACTAAAGCCATATAGTGGAATGCTGGAGATTGACTTTGGAAAAGGCATTGGAAAGAAAGATGTTTATCTGTTGTAAGTTCTGGGAGAAAGATATTGATGTTAAACGAGCTGCAATTTTATGCATGAGTTTGGAGTCACCAAACCATATGATCAATAAATTATACACAAAAGAAAGCTGTAGTACTAAGATTACCAACAATTCGGTTAGTATGTAAGGTGATGCCAACGGATTTGGATCCTCTCCTGAGTAGAGGGTCCGAATCCTGCTGACCAAGCAACACGGACTGTTGGATCAAAATCCAACGGCTACAAACAGGGGGGCCCTCTAAAGTTATAATAATTGTAGTCATTGGATTTTGATCCAACGTACCGTGTTGCTTGGTCAGCAGGATTCGGACCCTCTGCTCAGGAGAGGATCCAAATCCAGAAACAAGTCTCATACAGTAGTATACACCACTCACCCACATTTTTCCGAAAGGGTGGGAAATCACATTTGAGATTTGTTGATCAATTCTGGTGTCAGTTTCTTTCTTGTTGTCATTGTAATATTTCAATCACCATCTTAACACCTCCTTTTCAGCACAAACGCACTGAAATGGATGATAATCTGCTGGAACTGATAAAATACCCTACTGGAATTCACAAAAGATGGTTAACAAGATTGAAGAAGTTTCATTCAACATGTTTCTTTCAATTTTATCTTCTGGTCGTTGGAAGAAATAGAAACATATGTATGTTTTATGAACCGTAAGAGTCTGATGGGGCCACAGAGTAGTTGATAGATTGCAGAATAGCTCTTAGAATGCACAGTGTTTTGTCCTTGAGATGTTTTTGCATCGGAGTGGGGTTTATTTTTCTTCTTTTCAAGCTTGGTAATTTCTCTTCAGATGAACCAGTTGGTTTCTGTCTAAATGCTCAATTTGGTTCGATTACTATGAGGGTTGATGAACAATTTCTTATTTTCAGGAATCTACCGGAGGTAAGAAGTACTCATGAGGTCCTAGGAGTACCTACTGTCAGTGCTCGATTTGGAACTTCACCCTTCTTTTGGAATTGGGGAATGGCAATCATGACTAGTCTTCTTCCACCGGTACATTATGACTTTAGTATTGCATGCATGTGCTCTGATTATTTAGACTGAAACTGTAGCCTTGGCGTTCGAAATTTTCACCGCTATTATAAGAAATGAGATTAGATGATGATTAAGTAACATGCTTTAACAAAATGACCCTGCATTAATTTTGAGTAACTAAATGTGCTTTTAGCTTCTATAATAAGCCTAAGTAATATAGATAAACTTTGCAGGAGCTATTGAGAGACAGAAGCAAAGTCCAACAGATGGTTGAACTGTTTGACCCCGTTGTCCGACAAGTTGATTCTTTTGCTGGGGAGCGTGTATCAATGAGGGTGAGACAATTGGATGAGGGGAAGAATTATAATTCACACGATCTTTGTCATTGCAATTCACATTTCTTTTTCCTTTTTCTGTTTTTTTTTTTTCTTTTTTTCTGGGTTTGTGGTGTGTTGGGGATGACAGGTTGATTTGGAGTGCTCTGATGGGCGCAATACAGTTGGTATATTCAGTCACAAGAGACTCTCTGTGTAAGTTTTGAACCATCCATAGGTCTATTTAATTTCCTTTCCAAAACTGATCAGGAACCCCATTTTTTCAACATCTGTAAATGTAACAAGGTAGTTGATGTTAGAATTTGTGTTCCAGATCTGTGGGATATGCAGCAGCTGCATTTGTTATGGCAATTCTTGAGGGAAGCACAAAGCCTGGGGTTTGGTTTCCGGAGGAGGTATGTACAAGGGATGAGTAATTTACAAACCTAAAGGCTATACTTTGATGCAATAAGCCTCTTATCAAAGTCTCCCTGTATATAGAATGAAGGCATTGCAATTGAGGCAAGGGAACTCCTCCTCGAACGTGCTGCGCAAGGAACATTCAATTTCGTAATGAACAAGTAAAATATCCGATCCCTTCTTTCTTATATATATGTACACACATGCCTGTGACGAAAATAGATATGTGCATAAAGTTTGTGTATGACATAACTGGTTGCTTCTCAACAGGCCATCATGGATGGTGGAAACAAACCCAAAAGAGTTAGGGTTGGGAATATACGTGTAATACTCAAACGAAGTCAAACTAGTAGTTCAAATTCTTCACCATGTTGCCGAGGTAGGCGTATTAATCGTGTATATGTATATATGTACCGATACGGCGCGTAAGTCTTTGGTCATTACCAAGTAGTTCTTTAGCCATTGTCAAATTAATCGTTCTTTTTTCTTCTTCATATTTGTCGCAGTTGCGAGGCTTCCCCGTCTGGCAGGACAAAAGGGTCGTTAAATTAAACAAATTTTTGGAGATAAGTATGAATATTTTCCCCTACATATATAGCAGTAATCTTCAGTAAAGGAAACAAGTGAAATATAATTTACATCGTATGTGTATTATACTTATTTCAATGTTGTGAAATAAGCAGCTAGAACTCTAATAAATTGCACCGTTTGAAAAATAAAACTTCCTTTCATGCCAGTGTGCCACCCTATAAATACTACGAAAGAAACAACCAAGAAGGAAAAGTTTCGGAAATGAATATCAATATCAATTTCGGAATCGGAATTTTGGAATTTTATTAACGATCATTTATTGTCTGAACATCACAATCAGAACTGTTCATTCTCTTTATTATTATTTAAAGATAATATATGCAAAAAAATTAAAAACATTCGATTTGGAGGTTGTTTAGTTATCCATACGTGTTAAATCAATCAATGGAGTAACATTCTCAAGATGGATTGTCCATTTATTTTATGCATATAAATGGCTAAAAGATCTTTAAATTGGTTTGATAAGCCTAAAATTCCAACGTAAACAAAACAACAAAACTGGAAACTAAACATTTAATGTTTCCCTTAATTGGCTTTAACCTTTCTTTAGACAACCCAAAATAATTCGATAATCTTCCAACACTTGCTCGTTTTAGTGATGACTTGAGTTTCATGAATGCAAAATAAGTCACGGAAGGCAAACTACAACATTCTAGTATGACATTTTTCGTTTCTAAATTAAAAGATGCATGATTAGCTGTCAATTTTATTAACACAAATACTTGCCCCAAATTCTTAAACATAATGATAAGTAGGACTTACAATTTAATACCTATTTAACTAAATCCTATATCAAATTGATAACTGTTATAAATATGTCAAAGTTAAAGAGATAACCTTTACTAGTGACAAGAGCGAAGCAGGTGTAAAGTATTACACTGTAACTATAGCACAAGAGGATGACAAATAAAAGAGGTAGGAATAGATACTGATGTTATTGATCTTTCCTTTCTTATTCTATGTTTTGATTGCAGTTGAGTGCTCTATTTATAGAGCAACTTGCATTATTACATTTTGAAATTTACATCACATGACTTTGAAAATATAATCCTTTTGTTTCCAAAGTCTACATCACGTTTGTGGTTATTGAAAAATCTGTGTGTGGGCATTCATAACAATGCCAATGTTTTCAACACTCCCCCTTGGATGCCCACATATCAATATCAGTTGCCTCGTTAAAACTTTGCTTGGAAAAACCCAGTAGGAAAAAACCATAGCGAAGGAAGAGTACAACTTTATTTGGATTGTTGATATAGTGTTAAATATGCTTATGTTGCCTCATTAAAATCTTCATAGGAAAAACCCAGTGGGAAAAATCCTAATCGAAGGAAAAAGAGTACAACATGCATGTATCATGGACGTTCCTCTTGATATATATCTCCCCTTGATTCCGCATTCTCCAAATTTAGCTGTTTGGTAAGTCGACGTAATCCGATACTTTGCACTATCTTCTGAAATGTGCACTTTGGTAGAGATTTGGTGAACAAATCTGCCAGATTTTCATTGGAACGGATTTGTTTGACTTCAATAACTTTAGCCTTCTGAAGCTCATGTGCATTGAAAAACTTTGGAGATATGTGTTTAGTCTTATCGCCCTTGATGAATCATTCCTTCATTTGGGCAACACAGGCTGCATTATCTTCATGAATGACAGTTCGAGTGTCTGTCTTTGAAGGTAGACCACATGAATTCCAAATATGATGGATCATTGATCTTAACCAAGAACACTCACGACTTGCTTCATGTAAAGCAAGTATTTCTGAATGATTTGAAGATGTAGCAACTAATGTTTGCTTTGTTGAGCGCCATGAGATTGTTGTATCTCCATTCTTGAACACATATCCAGTTTGTGAGCGGGCTTTATGCGGATCAGAGAGAAAACCAGCATCTGCATATCCAACAAGGATCTGGTCATTTGTGGATTTCTTTGAGTAGAAGAGACCCATGTCTGTTGTCCCACGAAGGCATTGCAATACATCTTTGACTCATTTCCAATGATGAATTGTTGGAGTAGAGCTATACCTTGCTAACAAGTTGACTAAAAAAGCTATATCTGGTCTAGTACATTATACTAAATAACAATAAAGCACCTATTGCACTCAAATATGGTACTTTTGGACCAAGGACCAGTTCATCATCTTATTTTGGACGGAATGGATCTTTCTGAATGTCCAAAGAACGAACGACCATTGGCATGCTGAATGGATAAGCCTTGTCCATACCAAATTGTTTCAAGATTTTTTCAATGTAAGCTGATTAGTGGACCAAAATTCCACTAGCACAATGCTTGATATGCAGGCCGAGACAAAATTTTGTTTTTCCAAGGTCTTTCGTTTCAAATTCGTTTTTCAGATATTCAACAGTTTCATTGAGCTCTTCAGGGGTTCCAACTAGGTTCATATCATCGACATATACTGCCACTATAGCAAATCCAGAGTTGGATTTCTTAATGAACACACAAGGGTAAATGACATTGTTGATATACCCTTCTTTGGTCAAATACTCACTGAGACGATTATACCATATTCTTCCAGATTGTTTCAGCCCATACAATGATACCTTAATTTGATTGAGAGCATACCTCGTGGTTTGTTAGTTGTTTCAGGCAACTTAAGTCCTTCTGGGACTTTCATATGTATGTCAGTATCTAATTCTCCATTTAGATACGCGGTGATGACATCCATAAGGCGCATGTCAAGTTTTTCTAAAACCACTAAACTTATTAAATAACGGAACGTAATTGCGTCCATTACAGGAAAGTATGTCTCCTCATAATCAATTCTAGGTCTTTGCAAAAAGCCTTGTGCAACAAGTCGTGCTTTATATCTTGCAATCTTGTTTTTCTCATTGCGTTTCCTTGTGAATACTCATTTGTAACCCACTGGGTTTACACCAGGCGGGGTTTGGACTACTGGTCCAAAAACATTTCGCCTTTCCAAGGAATTTAATTATACCTGGATTGCATCTTTCCACTTAGGCCAATCTTGCCTCTGTTTGCATTCATCAATAGAGCGGGGTTCAAGATCATCACTTAATATGATTTCAGTGGCTACCGCGAATTCGAACATGTCATCGATGATTATTTCATTTCGATCCCACAATTCATCAGTACAAGCATAATTTATGGAGATTTCTTTGCTTTCATATACCTCTGTTTCTTTAGGTACATGTGTCTCATCAAGGACATTTTCTTTTTCTGAAAGTACAGAATCATGAATTATAGATGTGTCATTCATTTTTTCTTCTTGAATGATCTCATTTGGATTCAATTGTGCCCTCGTCTTTCTCTTTCGAGGGGCTGAATCTTTTGAACCTGGTGGTCTACCACGCTTTAGGCGTGCACCAGATGAATCATTCGCTGCCACTTTATTTTGTCCAACAGGGACGTCAATTATTATAGGTGCATTTGCAGTTGGTATAAGTGATTTTGTCACTTTCATAGCATCATTAAATGCATCCGGCATTTGATTGGCAATACTTTGAAGAAGAACGATCATTTTCACTTCATTTTCACATTGAGTGCTATGTAGATCAAAATGAGATAAGGTGGGAACAACCTATGTTAGCTCTTTTCATTCTTCTGGAACGATATTTTCTCCTCTTAACGACGGGAAGACTGTCTCATCAAAGTGACAATCAGCAAAACGAGCTGTAAACATATCATTTTCAAGGGTTCTAAATATCTAATGATAGATGGTGAATCAAAACCCACATAAATTCCTAATCTGCGTTGAGGTCCCATTTTAGTTTGTTGTGGTGGTGTAATAGGTACATAAACAACACAATCAAAAACTTGTAAATGTGAAATGTTTAGCTGATGTCCAAACACGAGTTGTACTGATGAGTATTGGTGGTTAGCTATAGGTCTTAATTGAACCAATGATGTAGCATGTAAGATGGCATGTCTCCATGCAGAAACTCGCAATCTTATTTTCATGAGCAGAGGGCGATCTATTAACTGAAGCCGCTTGATCAATGCTTCTACTAACCCATTTTGAGTATGGACATGAGGAACATGGTGTTCAACATCAATGCCCAAAGTCATGTAGTAATCATCAAAGGTTTGAGATGTAAATTCACCAACGTTATCAAGTCGGATTGACTTAATGGGGTAATTTGGGAACTGTGCTCACAACTTAATTTTTTGAGCAAGAAGTCTTGTAAAAGCTACATTCCGAGTAGATAAGAGACAAACATGTGACCATCGGGTAAATGCATCAACCAAAACCATAAAATATCGAAATGGTCCACATGATGGTTGAATAGGCCCACAAATATCCCCTTGAATTCTTTGCAGATCAGCATCAACATTTAGTTGTGATGGTCTAATTACCAACTTCCCTTAAGAACAAGCCTTACAAGGGTTATCATTTAAGATAGCAATGTGTCTGCTCAATAATGGATGTCCATTAGAGTTAGTAATGATTCTACGCATCATGGTAGATCCTGGGTGACCCAGATGGTTATGCCAAAGCATGTAAACTTTTGAATCAATGAACTTCTGGTTCATGACAGTATGTGATTCAACTGTCTTTATGTATGTATAATACAATCCACTCGTCAAACCATGCAACGTCTCTAATATACGCTTCTGGGTATCATTGGAGGTAATGCATAGATACTCCACATTTTCTGCACTTTTTCTTTCAATGTGGTATCCATTTAATCGTATGTCTTTGAAACTTAACAAATTTCGAGTAGATCGAGTAATGTACAACGCATTCTATATGGACAATATTGTTCCATTTAGTAACATAATCTGGGCTTTTCCTGAGCCTTTAATCGCATCTGATTGCCCTGATGTTGTTGTTACCCTTACTTTAGTAAGCATCAATCTTGAGAAATACTTTCGATCTCGAAGTATTGTATACGTGGTTGCGCTGTCTGCAAGACAAATATCTCTGTTATTTCTTATGTTTTGAGAATGACCATAGTTTTTATCCATACTCTCTGAGTAAGTGAATCACAGTTAAAAGCAAGTTATAACAGGAAATTTAAATGTCACTTTTATTGAATATGAAATGCTAGTTTTGAACTACAAGTTCAGTACATCAAACATAAATGATTTAGTCGGACCGGTAAACTTCATTCCCCTTTTCCACAATGAAGTCCAAGACATCTAGGTGGGTTGTGTTCAACT